CCAGTACTACTACATCCACCTCAGTACTATCCACCCTGCTCCAGTACTACCCACAACGATCCACCCCGCTCCAGTACTACAGGCCCTCCTGCTCAGTACTACCCACAACGATCCACCTCCCTGCTCCAGTAGCCACTCCTGTCCAGTAGTATCCTCCTGCTCCAGTACTATCCATAACGACCCACTCCTGCTCCAGTACTACCCAAAACGACCCACCCCTGCTCCAGTACTACCCCACAACGATCCCCCTGCTCCAGTAGTATCCACTCCTGCTCCAGTACTACCCACAACGACCCACTCCTGCTCCAGTAGTATCCTCCTGCTCAGTACTACCCAAAACGACCCACTCTTGCTCCAGGACTACCCACAACGACCAACTCCTGTTCCAGTACTACCCATAACGACCCTCCTGCTCCAGTACGACCCTCCTGCTCCAGTACTACCCACAGCGACCCACTGTTGCTCAGTACTACCCACAACGACCCACTCCTGCTCCAGTACTACCCACAGCGACCCACTGTTGCTCCAGTACTACCCATAACGACCCACTCCTGCTCCAGTACTACCCACAACATCCACCCTGCTCAGTACTACCCATAACCCACTCCTGTTCCAGTACTACCCATAACGACCCACTCCTGCTCCAGTACTATCCACTCCTGCTGCAGTACTACCCATAACGACCCACTCCTGTTCCAGTATTACCTATAACGACCCACCCTCCTCCAGTACTACCCCCATGACCAGTCCTGCTGCAGTACTACCCATAACGACCCCTCCTGCTCCAGTACCCCCATAACGACCAACTCCTGTTCCAGTACTACCCATAACGGCCCACCTGCTCCAGTACTACCCATAACGACCCTCTTGCTCCAGTACTACCCATAACGACCCACTTGCTCAGTACTACCCACAAACGATCCACCCCCTGCTCCAGTAGTATCCTCCTGCTCCAGTACTACCCACAACGACCCACTCCGGCTCCAGTAGTATCCACCTGCTCCAGTACTACCCATAACGACCCACTCCTGCTCAGTGCTACCCAAAACGACCCACTCCTGCTCCAGTACTACCCATAACGACCCACTCTTGCCCCAGTACTACCCAACGACCCTCCTGCTCCAGTACTATCCACAACGACCCACTCCTGCTCCAGTACTACCCACAACGACCCACTCCTGCTCCAGTACTACCCACAACGACCCACTCCTGCTGCAGTACTACCCATAACGACCCACTGCTGTCCACACACAGTACTGATACACTGACCCAACCAGCCCAGCATTGTGGTAATTGGATTTAATAATAATAATAATAATAATAATAATAATAATAAAAGACAACCTTTAAGCTAACGGCCTGTGTTATTTACAGACTTGGGAAACAAATTGTTTTAGCGGGACTATTAGTAAACAGCAAATGCATTATAGATTCCAGCGATCGGAAGTGACAAGGAACATTACACAAGGTAGCACCGTTTACGAGACCAGCGGCCGACTGAGCGGGTGGCAGTAAATATTTATGGACCAAAATGAGCTACAATGATAACAGAAAACGTGGTCAGCCGCCGGAGTAACTGAGGAAATATTCCGGTCAGTGGCCACCTGGCGGACCTCGAATTTTTGGCGATAAGTGTGTGTATGTCGGTACAGAATATATTTTTTCCCCACAAGTTTTTCAGGCTATGAAAATGCGCTTTCGAACTTTGGCTATAACTTGTGAAAAAAGAAAGGGCATTGGCAAACATTCCGACCAGCTGTTGTGCAATAAATTGTACAAACAGCAGAGATAACGGCATCCGATATCCCCCCCACCCGCCAAACTAAACAGAAGACAAACACTGAGGAGGAGAGGCTGGAGGCAGTGGTGAACCCAGGAGACGCGGGAAAGATGTTAAGGAAGTACAAACACCACATCATACTCTGTGTAGTAAGTAAATAACTATAAGTAGTGAAAAAATTAAAAATTTTCTCGTTTTAGATGAAAAAAATAAAGAGGCAGACAAATGAATAGTTGAGTAATACACCAACGTCTACACGCTGGCTGGGTCACTCCACATACTGGCGCCAAACTGATCCCCGAACAAAGACTCGGATTTTCACACAAAGTTTACCAGGGCTTATGTTTTTCATAAGGCTTGGGGAGTCCCACCAAACAGTAATGACCTAAAACCTGTTTTTGCAGATGAGATCACGAAAGAAAAAGGCTAAGAAATCAGAAAAAAATACGTAACCTAACCTAACCAGGCCATTAGACTCGACATTCATTAGTACTAGGAAACAACACTCCATCAGGCCATTAGCACTATTGCCCAGTGAACCCGTACATATTGTCAAGCATTACGTGTCATGACTGTCATGCATTACGTGTCATGACTGTCAATGACATGCATTACGTGTCATGACTGTCATGAATTACGTGTCATGACTGTTATCCTAAGAAGTGAGACACTACGACAGTTAATTACACTCGAACAGATTGACAGACACACACACTCGTCCTCCCTCCTCTTGCTCACGGAGCACAAGGTACTAACCCGGATGTAAAGTATGATAAACACCTCCCCCCCTCTCTCTCTCATGGAGGAGGGCAGCTCTACATCACACCAACAATCTCACTCAAAATTGAAGCGTTAAAGAGTCCCAGGGTTCGAACCTCACCAACATCACAAAAAAAGAAAGAGGATGTCGGGAAAATTGGTTCTGCAGTCGCGAAAATATTCTATGTGTCCGGGGAGAGAGAGAGAGAGAGAGAGAGAGAGAGGAGAGAGATAGAGAGAGAGAGACTATATGTTATGAATGGATGAGTGTATTTGCATGCATCATTTAATAAATCTATACGCAAATATGTGTGTGTGTGATAAAAATGATACGGTTTATTGAAAGAACATGGCAGTCCAAAAGGCTGAAAATATACAGTCAACCGAGATGGGAATGGATTCATTTGACTAATAAATAATAAACGAATAACACAAGTGATAAAAGTAACATAAGTGATACAAATATGATCTAAAATAACAAGGTGCGGAGAAGGTCATACTACAGGGTATTTCAACATAGTAACAATACGAAAGTAAGGTTGGCTGGGGGTGAACACACTGGTCACTGTGCAACAATTGTTGATTTTGATGTTTCTTTACTAATTTAGACATGCTGATTACGAATCTGCCATTGGTTTTGCCATTCTGGCAATATTTTTTTAAAAATTAACAATATCACCACTTTCTCAATTTTAATGCAATTTTGGGGAGATTTCTGTTAAAAAGCACAGCGATTTCAAATGCTGACTTCTCATCTTCTGAAGAGAGCGAGGATGTTGACTTTATTGTAGCAGACTCAAGCAACTCCCCACATTTTCCTAATCATCACAAACTGGATGACTTAGTCAGGGATGTAGGTGTTACCGAGGAAAATGATGAGGTTTTCACATCTCGTCTCAAGGAGTGGTATTTACTAGCTCCTAGTTGTAAGATTAGTACACACAGGAAAAGACGTCTAACTTTACACCTTTCTTCAAAGTTTTGGACCTCAATTTGCTGTGTTACTGTTCTGATGTCAATGGTCTTTTTGGCCAAATAGGCATTGAGTACAACCCATATGATTGGCGTCTGTTTATTGGCAGCTCAACAAAAAGTCTTAAAGCTGTGTTGCTTCACAATGGGAATACACTTCCATCAATTCCGGTAGGTCATTCAGTTCACATGAAGGAAGACTATGAAAATGTAAAGATATTGTTGGACATGCTCAACTAGACAAGAAACAATTGGGATGTATGTGGAGACTTCAAGTTGATAGGTTTCCTGCTTGGACTACAAGGTGGCTAGACCAAGTATTCTTGTTTTTTCTGTCTATGGGTTAGTAGAGCAGATGACAAACACTATGACAGAAGAGATTGGCATGTCAGAAGCGAATTAATTCCTGGTGCACACAATGTATGTAACAATGCTCTTATTCAAAGAGAGAAGATATTGCTGCCATCACTTCACATAACGCTAGGGCTTGTGAAGCAGTTTATCAAAGCATTAAACCCAGAAAGTAACGCCTTTAAACATGTCCGCTTAATGTTCCCAAAATTGTCTGAGGCCAAAGTCAAAGGCGGCATCATCATTGGACCACAAATTAGGCAGATGTTGGCATCTAAAGATTTGGAAGACAAAATGTCAACTGTTGAAAAAAGGCCTGGCAAGCATTTCGGCTTATAGTACATGGGTTTCTGGGTAACCACACGTCTGAGAACTGCAAAGAGCTGGTGGAAAATTTAATTGTAAGTTATAGAGAACTTGGCTGCAGAATGTCGCTGAAGTTACACTACTTGCATTCACACTTGGACTTCTTCAGACCAAACTTGGGACAAGCGAGTGAAGAGCAAGGTGAATGGTTTCACCAGGACATACAAACTATGGAGAAGAGATATCAGGGGACATGGGATGAAGCTATGATGGATGACTACGTGTGGAGTTTGATTCGAGATGACCGTAAGGAACACATAAGAAAATGCCGTTCAAGTGTTCATTTTTAGCACGGTTTATTGTTCAATTTCATTAGTAACAAGTGTAGAAAAGGAATGTGTTGTTTGGTCATGCTTTATGCTTTCAATATAACAAAATTGTGTTCTCGTTTCATTTATTTCACAGCAAATGTGATGTATATCAACATTTCACCTTCTGATTTCTGGTTAAATTTCAGAGGTGATAAAAAATTAATTGCTAATTTCTGATAAAACTATTGATGCTGTAAAAAAATAAAGTAATTTTTGGAATCAGATTACTGGAAACACACAAAAGTTAAAAGCAGATAAAAACAACTTTCCCTAAAATTTGTTGCACAGTGGAATTATCGACGAGTTATTGATAATTTTTACAATGGTTGGGACTGGGCTGTTCTTATAGCGATCAGTACGTGGCTGTATGGGCTGGATGTGGTTGTGGTGTCGAACAATTTACCTTGTGTCACAGCTGTCATTACCATCACTGCAAGCCGGGCTATAGACTCAGTACTTACCCAGTGTGCGTCCCATTTGTTTTTGACGAAGGCAGGACCCAGGGAGCGAGCTGGGTTCATTGAAGCGCCCGTCAGAGGCAGCTGTAAAAGTTGAGGTCAGGTCAGTATACAGGGGTCAACAGTATTATAGTATGACATAAAAAAACACACACACACACACACACACATATATGCAGAATAACAAACACCCACACACACTAACAGGCCCCCACACACAGTATATGCAAGAATGACAAACACCCACACACACTAACAGACCCCCCACACACACACACACACCCCAGAAGTACTCACTCCGACAAGTGTGCAGGCGAGGTAGGCGAGGCCGATGGCCACAGCAGGGTTACCGAAGTTCCTCCTGTAGGGGTTGACGGAGGCGAAGAAGACAAACACCACCACGAAGGTCAACAGGAACTCCAGCCCCAGACCCTGCCAGGGGGAGATGACCTGAGACACCCCCGTGGCTCCTAGGTCACCAATGTACCCAGACGACGTGGCTCTGAGAGGGAAAAAAAGGAATAATCAGTCAAGTCAGTTGGGATGCCTGTGCACAGTCATCACCTGGACATTAACTGATCAACAGCGACAAATTCACATCTATTTTTTTCTTAACTTTATAATTTACGATTTTTTTTAAGTAAAACGTTGAATAGAAACAAAAAAAGTGTGGCGGTCTACGTGTCCGTCCATCCCTCTGTCTGTCTGTCGTCTTTCCTCCTTGTGTCAGAAGGAACAATGGGAAACAGAGACTTCAAAACAGGGATAAATGGTAGAGGAGGATGTGTGGAAAACTGACACACACGTCAGTACCGGATATAATTTTTCACAAACTGTGTGAGAGAGAGAGAGAGAGAGAGAGAGAGAGAGAGAGAGAGAGGAGAGAGAGAGAGAGAGAGAGAGAGAGAGAGAGAGAGAGAGAGAGAGAGAGAGAGAGAGAGAGAGAGAGAGAGAGAGAGAGAGAGAGAGAGAGAGAGAGAGAGAGAGAGAGAGAGAGAGAGAGAGAGAGAGAGAGAGAGAGAGAGAGAGAGAGAGAGAGAGAGAGAGAGAGAGAGAGAGAGAGAGAGAGAGAGAGAGAGAGAGAGAGAGAGAGAGAGAGAGAGAGAGAGAGAGAGAGAGAGAGAGAGAGAGAGAGAGAGAGAGAGAGAGAGAGAGAGAGAGAGAGAGAGAGAGAGAGAGAGAGAGAGAGAGAGAGAGAGAGAGAGAGAGAGAGAGAGAGAGAGAGAGAGAGAGAGAGAGAGAGAGAGAGAGAGAGAGAGAGAGAGAGAGAGAGAGAGAGAGAGAGAGAGAGAGAGAGAGAGAGAGAGAGAGAGAGAGAGAGAGAGAGAGAGAGAGAGAGAGAGAGAGAGAGAGAGAGAGAGAGAGAGAGAGAGAGAGAGAGAGAGAGAGAGAGAGAGAGAGAGAGAGAGAGAGAGAAGAGAGAAGAGAGAAGAGAGAAGAGAGAAGAGAGAAGAGAGAGAGAGAGAGAGAGAGAGAGAGAGATGAACCAACAATAGATAGTCCCAACACTGTTCATGAGAGCACTTTAGAGGGGGAGAGATCCGCCAGCAGGTGAAAGATCTCAAGGCTACACAAAGGCTAGTATTAGCTCATATAAACACGGCAAGGGGGGAGGGGGAGGAGAGGGAGGGGGGAGGAAACAGATGGAAAGGGGAAGGAGAGGAGGGAAAGAGAAAGGGGAGAAAGAGGAAAGAGGGATATCCACTATTGAAATACACAGATGGTGAAGCAGGAGAGAGAGAGAGAGAGAGAGAGGGGGGGGGTGCTGCACATCTAATTGATTTCTCTCTCTCTCAGTATATTAACCACAAAATTATAGTTAACTTGTGTATAATTATAGCCAAGTTATATACTGTATAATGTGGGTGAGGGTTGTGAGAGCTGTTTGATATAGTTAACTGAAAACACTGTCTTCATTAGGCCACCAAGACAGACGTGATGGGTGAGTTTTAGTTTAACAAATTTATTGACAAAGCTTGGAGTACAGTTTGCCTATTCTGAGTAATTCAACTGGTCTTGACACTGAGGGTGGTATCACTTCTCACTGCCACGCAGGACAGAGGTTCATACACAAAGAAATGCATCATACTCATTACACTGGTCTACAAAAAAAAAAATTTCTGGCATGAAACCTTTTAACTGTTTTTTACTAACTTTAAGGTGCTGAATCCAAATCTGATCTCAGATTTGCTCCATCACGTAACGTGCCAGAATTTACTGAGCTACCAGAGATTGAAGATAGACCGGAATTCACCTGTTTCTACTGATGAAGATGAAGAGACTGATCTTTCTAAGCCATCTGGTGAAGATTGTGAAAAGCCAACGTTGTTTACTCAGTCAGAATTGAATGATCTGGTCAGAGATCTAAATTGCCAAAACAGTCTGCTGAATTGTTGGCTTCCAGGCTTTGAGAAACGACTCTAAAACCTGGCACGAGTGTCTCCTTTTATCGCAACAGAAAAGAGCAACCTGGAATTACTTTCATTCATATGACCAGCTTGTTTTTGTAATGATGTAGAAGGACTTTCTCCATGGGACTACCAGCATATGATAGTAAGGATTGAGACTTTTTATTGATAGTTCTAAAAGGAGCTTGAAATGTGTTCTTCTTCAACGTGGAAACAAGTATGGTTCAATTCCAATCGGACATTCTGTACAAATTAAAGAAGAGCATGAAAACATAAGACTGTCCTAGAGAGGTTGCAATACCATGCTCATGAATGGTTACTTTGTGTGGACTTGAAAATGGTAAACTTTCTATTGGCCAGCAAGGAGGGTACACAAATACCCGTTTTCTGTGCTACTGGGACAGCAGGGCTACAGCAGACCATTGGGGAAAAGAATTGGCCGCAAGACATAGTTTGACCCCTGGTGACAAGAATATCATTAACGATCCTCTGTTGACAGGAAAAACATTGTCATTCCTCCTCTGCACATAAAACTTGGCATCATGAAGCAATTCGTCAAGGCCTTGATCATAGTGGAGAGTGTTTCAGATATATATGCTCAACCTTTCCAAGTCTTAGCGACGAGAAGAAAAGGCAGGGATTTTTGATGACCTCAAATAAGAACACTACTCAGAGCTCGACACTTCCTTGCAAAAATGACTGAGGCACAGGCAAGAACTTGGAATGCTTTCTCTAATGTGGTGCGGAACTTTAGGGAACAAGAAAGCGGACAACTATCAAGAAATTGTGGAAGAGCTGCTCTTGAGTTTACAAGCACTTGGATGCAGAATGAGTATCAAGGTTCACTACTTACACAGTCACTTGGACGAGTTTCAAGAAAATCTGGGAGAAGTGAGCGAGGAGCAAGGGGAGCGCTTTCATCAAGACATTAAAGTAATGGAAGAACGTTACCAAGGTCGATGGGACTCGAACATGATGGCGGACTACTGCTGGAGTTTGATGAGACATTCCAGAAGCTGTACATAAGAGATCGGCCAAAAAGAGGAAGTTTATGTAACTGTAACTTGATCTTAATACTTGCACTATTTCTACCGTACATTAATTGTTTTTTTTTCACCCTTCAATGTTACATTTAAATATTATATGTGCATTAACTTTCCAATTTGATATTAACAATTTTTGGTTATAGAAAATACAAATTATAATGCTGAAAAAATTTATGTATACATGTTTAAACCGTCAATTTTGATCCAAAAGTTTACGTTTCCCAGCAAAAGTGCAATATGGTATATCTCAAAAACCTGATGTGATAGACAAAAACCAAAGTCATATTTGGATTCTGCACCCCAAATTTACTTAAAATCCGTTTAAAAACCTTGTGCCAGAAAAATTGTGTTGACCGGTGTTAGCAGTATATATAGGTCAGTCACGTGGGTGATGTCATTGTTTGCTGCCATGCAAGACAGTGGTTCATATACATTGGACGTCATATTCTAATTGAAGACAAATCAGTGTGGGCAGCAGCAAATTTGGGATAAACAGCAAGAATGTCCTCAAGCAACCCCGATTCAATGTAGTAATTACAAAGTTCATGACGAGGGGAGGCTGGGGAAGGTATCCACAGCACAGCCTTATGTACGGGACGCAAACTGGTGTAAATACGGTATGTGACTTTATAACAGGACCACGATGCGCACACATACACACACACACGGCAATAAACACAAAAACAGTTAAATAATATTATTACATACAAACAAACAAAAAATAGAAACGCTTACACACTTGTTTTAATATAAATTTGACCGATACAGCATTTACCACAACAAAGAGTTTTCGTGAGCCACCTGTAGCCAAAAACTCAATACATGTTATCCACTGCCAGAGAAACAAGCATTCCATCACGTTTAAAGCGCAACATTTTATATACAACACAAACATGTACATTTACACCTCAAAGGTACCGGAATATCAACAAGTTCTCGCCAGAAGTTACAATTTAATTTAGGAAAGGAATGAAACCAGTGTTGAACAGAGGTGAACAGTGCTTAAGTCAGTGAGAACAACTCAACAGTAACAGCCGAGTCGTACCCAAGTTAAACTTCACACAGTGAGGTCCCAGGAACCCAGTGATAACTGCCCGTGAGACCCAACAATAACCAGAGATGTGTTAATCCGTCTACGATAGGAAGGCCTGGGACCACACCTCACTCATATAACACCATCTGTGAGGGAATTACTACACCACGTGATGCCCCCCATAACACCATCTGTGAGGGAGTTACTACACCACGTGATACCCCCCATAACACCATCTGTGAGGGAGTTACTACACCACGTGAGGCCCCTAATAACACCATCTGTGAGGGAATTACTACACCACGTGATGCCCCCCATAACACCATCTGTGAGGGAATTACTACACCACGTGATACCCCCCATAACACCATCTGTGAGGGAGTTACTACACCACGTGAGGCCCCTAATAACACCATCTGTGAGGGAACTACTAAACTACGTGAGGTCCCTCCTAACACGTGTTTGCTGTTCAACACCTACATTAATCTGTATGTTCACTGTATGTTCCTTTACCTTTCTCTAATGAAGGCTTTTGTTAAACCACCAATGTATGTAATAAGTCATTTATGTCCAATGTATATTTTCAGCCTTCGGGCTGCAGAACTTTTTCAATAAACCGTTAATTATTATTATACACACACACACTGAAATATATATATATATATATATATATATCAGCAGCCTCCGTCGTAAACCTAGACACTAGCGTAGAAGAGGGAGGGAGGGAGGGAGGGAGAAGAAAGAAAGGAGAGGGAGAAAATTAAGTCTACAATATATGGCTACCAATAATGGATTTTTTTGTGAGAGAGAGAGAGGGAGAGAGAGAGTTTTACCCAGCCACCCGGGAGATCCTGCTGAAAAACCGGATTAAAAAAAACTGTGGTTTATTTATCTTGTTAAAAGAACCTACTACTAATCTCTGCTTCAACCCCCTCCCTCCCCCCCTCCCGGAGCCAACCTCCAGCCTCACGCACGCTGAAGGAGAGCCTGGTAGTAAAGTGGGGCCTCCTGACGGGGACC